TTTTTTCTGTAGTTTAAATAGAGTTTCAGAGTCCTTTTTCACCCCACCCCAAAAAATAATACCGTATTTCAACACGGACTCAAACTTTGCAAGATACACATTTCTTAATACAGATTGGCTCACAGAGTCCCGTAAAGATTTAATCAAATAAAGAGTCTTGCTAAGTTTTTTACAAACATATTGTGTGTGGGTTGCCCAACTTAAATCCTCAGTAATACTAATACCCAGAAATTTTACATCTGATGAACAAACTACCTCCTTATTATTTAAAGAAAAAATGGATCTAATAATTGGAGTAGATCTACTTCCCCGAAAAAAAATTACCTTAGACTTTTCAGTGTTTATTATTAAATGATTTTCATAAAACCATTTTTCTAATTGATTCTTTACATTTTGAATTTTTTCATTTAATGATAACATGTCATTTCCAGTAATTAANCAAGACTGAAAAAAGAATTTCAGTAAATTAGGATGTACTGTAATTATGACTTCTTGTTCCTAATATAGTGAAAGCTCTTTGTAATTGTATCTAAAAGCACCGGTATATGTTATCTATATGAGACAGGTTTCTGCATAATGTGGGTACATATGTCTAGATAACATAGAGTTCTGAGTAGTATTCATAAAGCCTACTTTCCTATTGCAAAAACTTATAGTCATACAATGTTGTTGTTGTTGTTATTATTGTTTTGTTTTTGTTTTATTTTTTTGGATAAGTTACTACTTAAATACAGATTCTATCTATGTTAAAATTGTGTGATAAATCTCAGAGATACCATCACCCCTGCGCCACTTTGTTGACCATAAATCCCTCTTAACCAGACCCGGGATCGAACCCGGGCCGCTGCGGTGGGAAGCCAGCAACTAACCTCTTGAGCTATGGAGCGGCCTACAAGGGGCTAAGTCCCATCCCACTAGCAATAAAAAAAATCAGACATAAAAGAGAAAATCTATTCATTCATAAATCACAATAATGCCATGAAATTTACATCTGAAGACCCTCTTGTAGATACTTTCTCCCCCACATTCAGCACCCACAACAGATAACTACATATTATCCAAATAAAATAAATGTTTTCCATTAATTCTTGTAAACTATACCTTTGCAGACCTAGGCACTGAATTATCAGCATCCCAAGAAGAACTAAAAGCGCACATCCAACATAGAATTTGAAGAGTGGATCTGGTTGCTTGAGAAACGGCAGTTCCCACTGGATATTTTCAAAAGTAAGACATACTGGATTGATATTCTCTCTCAAACACCACCGACTGAAAAAAAAAAAAAACAGAATTTCAGTGAAGTACCAGGTAAGTGCAAATTTCTGAAGAAAAAGCAGGAACCTTACCACAGAATTACACAGATGGGAGTCTTTACTTTGTAGAAGCATCTAGTGAACATGTCTTAAACTGCTTAACCTGATCAGACTTTAATCGTTATTTTACATAATGGCGGGTTAATTTTTCCCAGCTAGCTGTGGCTGTTCTACAAAAACCTCTGTAACTGATGAGGTCTATAGTGTTCTGAGAGGGAAGAAGGAAGATGATGGTGTAGAAAGAAGGAGTGAGGGAGATAAGTGAGAACAAAAGTAACAAAATTATGTCTTAGAATATTGATTTATACATACTATATTTTCTAATATAAAACAGCAATTTTTCTGTAAACAATAATGGTTTAAAACCACTAGTTGTGTCATACAAACAAAACATTTTAGATATAAAATTGCTTACACATAAATTTCATTTCATTGTGATTTAACATCAGAAGCCAGTGTTATTTAGTACAAAATGATTGTACATGCTATTTTCCCCCATAAAGCAAATAGTGTAAGCTGTTCTTTTGTTATTACTTACTCATATACTCCAACATGCATATTTTTAATTGCCTCAGCCATCTGCTCATCTGCTTTCTTCAGCGTTTGTTGATATTTGTATAAATTGTCATCCATGAAAGCAATGCGGCGGCGGGAACCAACTGCCAAACTGTCATTTCCACTTCGTCGTGCCTGTATCAATTTTCATTATATTTGCAGTATCTCACATCCGTTATCTTTCTTGTGTTCCATATACATGAACTGTAATAATTATGCTCCTTAAGCAGAATACTAATTTTCATTAACTTCTTTATTTCCACGCTCGTTCGTTTAAGAGGTCCAGCCTTGTTTCTCTGAGATATAATAACATATTTAGAGGTTCTCGCAAAACTGAAGACTTCATGAAAAATAAAATCCCGACGCTGAAATTTCATATTGACTTAACTACTTTAGTGTTATATTCTTAGGGAGTAAACATATTATCTAATCTGCCACTTATGTAATTCTCCTATTCTATTTTATGACAGTTGACTTCAACAAGTATGTAAACTTCAATGATGTTTTCTTCCCATTACCAAATTAGTATGGTTTAGCCCAGCGGCCTCCATAGTCTAGGGGTAACGTTCCCACCTCATGACTCAAGGTACACGGGTTCAAACTCGGCAGAGGTCATGGAATTTTTAAGGGTGGAAAATTTCAGGGAACAAGTCCTCCGGGAGGGACTTTCAGCCGTGGGTCCCGTGTCGTAGATTTACGGCACATAAAAGATCCTCATGTCTCTAGGAGACCTCTGTGCAAAATTAGGGAACAATTTCCCGCCCAAGTAGTTTCCAGTGCCTCTGGTAGATGGGGGGAAATATCAGGTACCAACGGCCGACCTCGTTGGTTGAACAGGGCTGATAGCACGCACCAGTATAGGTTGGGTATGGCGACAGTAGAAATTAAAGGGGATGGAAAATGGACCAATAACTGGTCTAAGTGCATGGGGAAACCCACCCCCTCTAATAATAATAATAATAATAATGGTTTAGCCCACTGCAATTTAACCCAGTTCCAACTCCAGTACATTCAAGTTTATTCCCCTAAGTAATTCACAATGAGCTCATATTATTTGCGTAACAAATATTTAAATTCCTGAGCAAGATTCATAGAATTAAACTTCAGATGGAAGCATATTTTTCCATTTAAAAACATGAGAATCCTACACTTGAAATTTCAATGGTAGATAATCCTCTATCATAAATAAGATTTATTGCCCTTTCTGAAGGCAATCATATTTTTCATGTTTTGAGATCATATGCACATGTTACCTCCATCTTTTGGTGCCATTATTTCTGCTAGTCAGGCTTACCCCTTTGTAAATTCAACATTCAGTTAATTGTTCTTAGTATAAACTATCTAGACAGGCATCAGGAGTCAGAGAAAAATATCCATGTTAATATAAATATTTTAAATTAAAAGAGAGAAGGTAATTCATTCTTCTTAATCATCCTGCCAAATCTCATTTACTGCTATATCACATTTATAACTGGTATGGTTGTGGAAAATAATGAAAATACAATGAAGTAACGCTTAAATAATATGTAAAGACTTGAAAATGTCAAACAAATGTGTATCATGTAAGATTTGAGGCTTTCATGGCGGTGACTATGAAGAAAGCAGTCTTCTGGGATTTTGCACCGTGTATATGTGGTGTTAACCTGCTTTTACCGGTTCTCACGGTCTCTTTGCTTGCAGATTTCTTATATATTTTTTCTTCTACCCTGAAGATGGAGGCGATACGTTCCTCCGAAACGTCGGTTAACACCACATATACACGGTGCAAAATCCCAGAAGACTGCTTTCTTCAAATGTGTATCATAACACCTTTGTTCCCCTATATATTCTTCCTCTTCTCTTACAAAAGAAAAAACTGAATCGATGTCTTGTCACCTATATATGTTACTATGACTAACAGCACTTGGGCAGCAGTTTTCTTCTAACCTGTGAGGGGCCCCTATTGCTTGTGAGTCTGCGCTGTCCCCCTGCACTGTATCGCCGACTGTATAATGATCGCTCTTCTGTTACACGTTCCTCACTGTGCTGCAACATGGTTGATGGTTTTGAGATTCAAAAATATGGAGATATTGTTCATGCATAACACTTTTCTAATATATAATAAAAAAACTGCTTTACAGTTAGTTCAAATGTCATTATAAGGTAGCTTAATGATTATGCAGCAACAGTGAGAAGAAACAATAGAACCAAACAATCAGATTTTTATATATCTCTGACACACATATGTTACACTGCATTGAAGAGGACAGACCTACTGATAAAACTAGAATTCTCCAGATTGAAAAAACGATATAAAAGGAAGAGGAATATCATCAGATCTCACATTTTAACTCTGCATGAATCTACCTGAAAGGGATGTCTCACCTTATCAGCAGGAACAATGAAGAAAGTCTCTATGTTGTATTTGTCTAGTACTTCATTACGTGTCCTTCCATTACCAGGAATGTACCTGTATTTATTGCCTAGGAGATTTAGCGTTTCTTTGGTTACATGAACCCTTCTGAAAAAATAAAAAAAATTAACTGTTTTGTCTCAGAAGCAATCTCCAAAGCTGTCATTTCTGAACATCTTGTCAACGTTCTTTGTGAACAGAACTTCTCAGATACAAGGAACTTAACTTGCTGCAGATTATTACACAAATTTGTTCAGTGAAATATAACCATATCACATATCACAGTTTTATTGTATTGTACTTGTATCTTTTATTGCAAATTATTATACTAGAGGAGGTTTCTTTAAAGAAGAAAAGAGAAGAATATATGATTTAAAAACGTGGTATTATTTTCAATTACATCTTACCATTAGAAATAACACAACTGAGCACTGCAAGGAAGTTGATTACATTTAACTTTCTGCTGCCATGCGAATAATGTTTCTTTCGAAATGTACATTTAAAATTCTGGATATGAAGAAGTGGCATGAGGTGATAAACAGATACACAAAGCCATTTCAGGATAACTGACATGTAAACCTCTGGAGGATTTTACTGTGATACTGGCTACTATTTTGTGTTGCAAAATTAAAGCAAAAAATTTCAGTAACTAAAAGGAAAAAAAAATTAATATGCCAGAAGATTTAAGATAAGACAGCACTGTACCACAATGCAACCAATACTGGGGATGAAGTTATGGTAACCAGTAGTGTAGAATTTTTACATTGAAAATTGAAATGTGAATACAATGAGAAAGGGAATATCTGCTTTAATATCAAGTTAGTATAATGATTCTCTGTAGATTTATGGCAATGGTTGAGCCTTTACATCGCAGTTACTTGATCAGTGAATCCTAAAATGGATCTTAAATATATAAGGTTTGGGCTTGATTTAACTGGCTTAGGATAGATTCCATTGATGGGTTGCTGAGAAAATGGTAGAGAAATTAGAAGTAAGAGAAACGTGGATCTTTGACATATGAGTGACTACCAACCTTGTTACTAATGATTTTGCTCCATGGAGTGTGTGAGTTTATTAACTGGTTTCAAGAAATGTACAGAGAATTTATATTATTATCCTCAATTATACAACAACAAACAAAAACCGATATCTACGAAGTTGAGGATAGTCAGTTGAAAATTTTGAAATTGTGTCAAAGTGTGTAGGATCATTTATATTTCTGTGAATGTAGAGAATATGTTTTAAGAATAAGATGAAGAAAATTATGTACCAAATATTTCTAATAAGTCTGTATATCATAAATAATTTTAAGATTTTAATCTACACTGATTTATCACACTAAGAATGAGATATTACTTTCGCAGCATAATTTGTATCTAAAACACTAGAATATGCAAAAAGACTTTTATGGGTTATGTGAATCTTTGTCTTCTATGACAAGTGCTGGTAGCAGATCTGCCTGACAAACATGGCACTGGTACCATATTAATTGAGCCTGAACCTCACTGAGACCAAATATTGTGGTCCAATAAGATTCACAAGTCAGTGGTGCTAGTAGGAGGCTGCAAAGCAAAGGGACCAACTGTGTTTGCAAATTCATACTGTACTGTAACCCAGCAAGAAATACCTGGATAGAAGTGAAGGGTAACTTACCCAGGTTTACCAGCTTGTTCCATACTGTTGGCAATAATTACATCACGAGACCAAACATCATATTGCCATTTGCACATACCGAGAAGACCACTCAGGATCTTGCCAGAATGAATACCAATACGCATGTCAAGAGTCTCTTTAAGTTTCCTTTCTTCTCTGAAAATACAAATGAAGGGGATTAAGACTGCCTAGAAGCATCACACATCCTAAGAAATGTCATCTGTCCATAACAGCTCTATCCCTTATAACTGACTTCTTATTATATGGAAAAAATTAATACTGGATACTGAACACTATAGACAGATCAGTCAGAATAATAGACTATATGAATCAGAAAGACTGGGTACAAATATCAAGACATTATACAGGAAGTGAGAAGACCTAAGGGTGTATTTCAGCAGAAAGAAGAAAAAGAGAAAAAATTAAAAATGTATGGATTCTCCATAATTTGCACAATGCTAGAGAAAAAGATGGGGTAGTAATGTTGGCTGGGGAAGAATTGAACAGATTGAAGAGGTGAATTAAAGAGAGCGACTATACAGATGAAAGAATATTTGACAGGTATAGAGTATTATTAAAATTAAAATGGAATGTATAAAGTAAATAAGAACTCATAAAATAAAAGAAAGTTAAAATTACCCTTATGTAAAATGAAGAGTGGAATAATAGTGAAAAGGTTTATAATAAAGCAGTGGATAGGTTTAGCACAATCAGAAATCATGGCCAAAGGCTGGCTGTTAGATGCGAACAGCATAACTTGAAAATATTCAGTGCATATTTGAACACATAAGTGCCAGAACTTGTAAAAAATGCATGAAAACAGTTATATTATGAAGAAAGCAGTCTTTTGGGATTTGGCACCGTGTATAAGTGGTGTTAACCGACGTTTCGGAGGAACGTATCGCCTCCATCTTCATGGTAGAAGAAAATATAAGAATTCTGCAAGCGAAATTACCGGTTCTCACGGTCTCTTCGCTTGCATAATTCTTATATTTTCTTCTACCATGAAGATGGAGGCGATACGTTCCTCCGAAACGTCGGTTAACACCACTTATACACGGTGCCAAATCCCAAAAGACTGCTTTCTTCATAGTCACCGCCGTGAAAGCCTCAAATCTTACACAGTTATATTATGTTTCATTATATTGACCAACTCAGTTCTGTATTCTTCATGTCATTCCATCACAATTCAGCACAGATGTTGATGCAACTATCATGGATTTCAGTGACTTTGCTAAAGTCATTATATCATGTAAATAGGCTATGCTATAGTGCAGGTAGTTAGTTGCCATTTTCCCACCATAATGACATGAGCTTGATCCCAGATCAGGTCATTTGGGATTTTTAGTGGATGAAGTGGCACTGGGGCAGGTTTTCCTTGCCAATTCTCATTCCACCAACTACTCTACAGTTATCATCGTCATCGTCGTTGTCATCCTTATCATCATCATCTATCTATCTATCTATCTATCTATCAATTTGGAGTTGGCCAAGGCAACAAGCAGACGGTTTCACCCCACACCATGAGTGAAAATATTTTTGAAAATTGGTAAATACAGGTGGCATATGAAAGTTCAGCTTCCCGTGTCAAATAAGTTCAGAGATGCACTATTTTAAAATTTGAATTGTTTTGAACTTTTCCTGTCATTCTGAATCACTGAAACAACAATAATTCCTGCCCAAATATATATAAAAAACTTATTTTCATACCAATTTAAATCTTTTGAATGTGACTCATTCATCAGAATGTTTGGCTTGAATTTTATTCCTTGATATTAGCTTAACAACATTAAACACCAATACTTCTGACATATTTGGGAGGTCACCATTTCAATTCTCTGGATGGTACCACACTTAGGCCAAAGTGCTTCTTTCCAAATCCTTTCCAGTTCATTATTCATCAATCATTCCATAATTTGATGCTATATAATCCAGATACTGAAGGCATAATAGAATAACCCACATAAGAATTCCACTCAGCATTGATATTTTTATTTCAAGTCCATAATAATGCTTTCATATTTCTTCTTTAGTGATTGCACCATTTTGAACAGCATCGTCTTCATTTTTATATCTTGTAACCTCCAAGCTGTTTCATTAATGGTCTACATCAGAAACTCTAGAACTCATTTTGCAGTGACAACTATGAAAAATCACAGTCCCAAATCATCTGTCTGCAATTTCTGTAATTCTAACTCTCCTATTTTTGTCAAATACTGCTCCCACTTGCATGACACTATTAATAGTGTTTGAAATTCTAGGTCTCTTGGGTGCTTTTCACAAACTACACTTGTTCAGTTGTTGTCAAACCTTTTGACCTATTTATACACTTTCTGCAATGTCACAAATTTTTCACACTACTGAGCTACCCAAATGTACAGGACTTATGCATATCAACTTTCAAATATAAAAATACATAGCGGTATATTAAGTTTGTAACATAAAATGTAATGTAACTTGTAACAAAGGTAAAAAAGAGAGAGAGAGAAAATTGAAAAATAATTATGGAAAGATAAAGAAAATAGGCAAAGGTCAGAAATATTGAGAACTGGTTTAGTTTGTCTTACCTGACTTCCTTAATGATTGCAATCATATCAAGTCCCAGGTCCACGCAGTTCTTTGCATGGTTAGGATTGTTATCAGGAACACCTGAAACGCAGTAATAGCAATCTCCAAGAAATTTTATTCTCAGAACTCCATGTTCCTGTAAAGAAAAGGAAAATGCAGTTCTACTGTGAATTGTGCTCTTGAATTTAACTATGTCACCACTCCTCCACCAAATATAAATAAAATCCTTATGGATTTAAAATTATGAAGTACAAGATACCAGCCATACACATCAATTAGATATGCAAAGGTCAGTTTTATGTGTCAACACTTTACATCAGACTGCTATGACAATATGCTAATGACCTCATTTTGTGTTGGCATGCATATCAGTATAACTTATGATTCATTCTGACATAAAATCACTGTTTCAGAGGACAGAGAATAAGAGACCATATGAGTATATTTATTATAAAGCACATGATCCAGAGGAGTGGGTGAATACTTTCAAGAGAAGTTACAGGAAATGTCTGATGAAGGTCTGTCACACACATTTGAATCAGTTTTGTAACTTTAATTATCAAAACAATGTATTCAAGAGAAGATTCCAACATGAGAAGTTTGTAACATTTTATTTAATGATGTATCAAAGTTTTCTTTTTTAATCTTAGGGTGGGGTGAAACCAAGTGCTGCGGTAATTAAGCTGTGGGGTTTTGCCTTTGTTGTTCATCATTACTCCGATGACAACCCACTTCTTCGGAACAGTTTGTTGGTCCTGAAAAGGACCGTGGTTGCTGAGATGTTTGATTGGTGAGGTAGCACGGTGCGCGCCGGTAGGGAGAGAGAGGTTAGTTGCGGTGATTTGACTGGCCACAGCGCGGCCGTTGCTGGAGGTTGCTTGATCACCGTGCGGCAGGTAAGTTGAAGTTGCGAGGTCGCGCAGCGCGGTCGTAGGAGTGATGAGGCAGTGGCTACACCAGATGCCCAGTGAGTCTGACAGGGACACGACAACCGGCGAGTCCAGGCGAGGTGCACCAGTGAGTCGGGTGTGAGAGCCGAGGCAGCCGTGCCTGGTGCAGCCTGCCAATGCCTCCGGAGACCGAGCGCTGGTGACAAAGCCTTCTGGCTGATGTTGCTTGAGTGTGGCTTGATCGTAGACTGAAGTCAGACTGATGCTGCCAGTTCGAGGCTGCTCCTTTTTATATACTGCTCGGTGGGCGGAGCGAAACTTGAAATTGAGGAGGAAGAATTTGCAGGGCGCTGATTGGCTAGCGCGCTTGATGATGTAGATCCGGGGCTAGCAGCGAGCGCAGTGTAGTTAGTTAGTTAGTTAGTTATTGGAGAGGGTGGGTTTCCCCACGCACTGAGACCTGTATTGGTCCATTGTGCTTCCCTCTATGATTTCTACCAGTCTCTATATCCTACCGGTACTGGTGCTTACCATCAGTCCCGCCCAGCCAGCGAGACCGGCTCTACTAGCTGAGAGGTATCTATAATGCTTCCCCCATCTACCAGAGGTATTAGAGACTGCTGTTGGGCGGGAAACGTCCGTTAATTTGGCTCAGTGACCTCCTTTGGAGATATGAGGTTCTTTTACGTGCTGTACAGCTACAACACGGGACCCACGGCTTAAAGTCCCTCCCGGAGGACTTGTTCCCTGAATTTTTCCGCCCTTAAAAATTCGACGACCTCCGCCAGGTATTTGAACCCGCGTACTACGAGTCATGAGGTGGGAACGTTACCTCTAGACTATGGAGGCTGCTGAGCGCAGTATAAATGCGAACGTTTGGAGCAATTTGATTGGTTAGCGCGCGTGATGGTGAAAAGTGATGTGAAGAGTGTGCGTTGCAGAAAATGCGTGATAATGTGGGATGTTCCCACAAAGCCATATGTGGCCCCTTGTACCCACCCAGAATGGCAAATGAGAGAAATGAAGCATTTGGTACAGTGAAAATTGACAGGGAAGCTGAAGTACTCAGAAAAAAAGCTGTTCCAGTGCTGCTTTGTACACTATAAATCACACATGAACTGACCTCTGATTGAACCCTAGCTCCTGCAGTTACAAACCAGCAACCGAATGACTGACTGAACTACAGCATGACAAAATGCATCAACATTTTAAGTTGCAAAAAATTCTGTATTCTTGAGGTAGTTACTTAGTTATTGGAGAGGGTGGGTTTCCCCTTGCACTTAGACCAGCATTGGTCCATTGTGCTTCCCTCTATGATATTCTACCAGTCTCTATACCCTACCGATATTGGTGCGTACCATCAGTCCCGACCGAGCCAGCGAGTTCGGCCTCTACTGGCTTGGCGGTATCTATAATGCTTCCCCCATCTATCAGAGGCGTTAGAGACTACTGTTGGGCGGGAAATGGCGTTGAATTTGGCCCAGTGACCTCCTTTGGAGATATGAGGTTCTTTTACGTGCCGTAAAGCTACAACACGGGACCTACGGCTTAAAGTCCCTCCCGGAGGACTTGTTCCCTGAATTTTTCCGCCCTTAAAAATTCCACGACCTCCGCCGGGTTTGAACCCGCGTACCACGAGTCATGAGGTGGGAACGTTACCTCTAGACTATGGAGGCCACTTATTCTTGAGCTAAGCATTTAATCAATAATAATATTTGAGAATAAATTTGCTCAGAACCAACAGAAAAGCAGAATGTATCTATTTCGATCACCCTTAATCCACACATTTTCCTCATTGTGAGGGACCAAGGTTCATACCCATACAAAACATTTCAATATTGAAAATTAACAGCAAACTTTATACAATCATGTGTGTCTAAGAAGTACATAATTATTGTGCAGTCATCCAAGGTCCCCAGGTTAATTTGCAGACTCAAAAGGCAAGAATACATGAAATGCATTTGTTTATTCAGCAGTCTGATAAGGTCAGAATTGTCCCAGAGAACTGGGACTGTAGGAGACCTGTTTTAAGAGACAGGGATATTTTCCATAATGGAAATCTTCTGTAATGGTTTCATTGCATGGTGCATACTTCCCGTAAGAATGACAGCAGAATGTGCAACAAGCCCTATTTTTGTATATTTGAAGTGTTATACGTAATTGTCCTACAGAGACAGGACTAACCACACAAATATATGAAATAGTGATTCTCATCTTCAGTGCTCATAACATTGAAATCGCGTTATGCGCACAAAACTGTTTAGGGGACTTCTTTAATCTACAGCTTAGTAATGTGTAGAACCACAGATAGGCCTATCATCCCTACTACTATCCAACAAACCTAAATAAAGCTGGCTGACAATTGTAACCACCATGCTGATTACTTGTTTATGTTTGCTGATAAACAGATGAAGGTACTTTAATAACAGGCTAAAGACTGACGATTGTGGTTTAATAACAAGTTCATTTAAAGTGGAAATATTATAATATTTCACAGAAAGGAGAGTGGCTGACAACAAAATTTCCTTTCCCAAAGCTTTTAACTATTACTATAAGATGATGAAGGTAAACACACTGCAACAAAGGGAAAAATGTTAGGTCAAAAGCACTGCCAGAATTATTTTCAAGGACAGCCAGAATATTTTCTTATGCTTCTATGTTTCAGCAATTTAGTGATATCTTTATATTCTGCCTTAGAGTTCTGTGTCATTTTTTAACATAACATGATGCCCTACAAAAATAGTTTTCATTCTTGGTACCAATATTTTGTATATTTCCTTCTTATTCAAGTTTGTTTTAATCCAGTTGCTGTCTCTACTTCTAGTAATGATAAATTACCTCTGAAGCTTCATCAAACCTGCCAAAGAGTTCATTTAGAATTTCAACCAGTTTGCTGACTGGTAAAGAAACTGTGAGCTGTGCATATTTCACCACATCAGCATACAGGATGCTAACATTTTCATGTGCTGTCACATACATGTCACTGTTGGAGAGACAAGAAGATAAAAGTTATTATCCTGTTTGTAATGAATTCATGAAGTAATTTCATTAAAAATATAGATCATAATTTGTTTCAATAAAATTAAGTCAGAAACAAAGCCTTTAACATACCTATGAAGTAAACCCTCCCAAAAATTATATCAAATGCAATAAAATTTATAATTTATACAGTTTCTATAACAAAGACCTTAATGTAAATAAAAGATATTTAGTTCCATTAAGGTAAAATATATATAAACACATTATAAAATATCCCATATAATAATGTCCAAAAATGTATAAAGGTAAATCTTACCTGAAAGGTTTTCTTCTCAGGGGTGTGTTGATATGCTGTATAAGACTTTGTATGTCTCTACGAACATCATCAATAATATGACGTGGGATTATACTTAACATAAGATTCTCCTGCAAAGCCAAGAAAAATAATGATTTAATGTTAATGGTATACAAATAGTACTTCCAAATCACAAACAGATGCAAAGATAAAATGAAGGACTCTGGAGAACAGAGCACATCAGTTACAAACTTAGGGAGCATGTCTGTAACCACAATTCTGCTCGTTTTTATTCATTCAGTTTATCTGGCATTCATAATTGCTACAACAGTAACACCTGAACAAGTCACATTATTAAATACATCATTCTTGAAATCCATTTGCCCAAATGCCTAAAGGACTAGAATTTGTCAACAATAAATAATCACTCCTGACATGGTTAACCTATAATTAAAATATAACACTATCTATCAAAACCAGTTAGATAGTATTTTTTTTAATTGGCATAGTTGGAGGTGGAGTCCAGCTGGATCCACTCAGCACGTCAGCCACTGAATGGCCTATTGTAGCCTGCCCCAAGTGATTATGATGATGGAGAATTTGAGAATATGACTTATCTGAAGTGCATTTACAGATGACTTTTGTTTCAAGATAATTCCACTTCAACAACCTAATCATTTTTCAAAATTACTTGAGTTAAATCCTAATCAGTCTAGAATATTGCCTAAGTTTCTTCTGTTCTGTGACTTTCCTACTTTTTGTTTCAGGTGATGTAATATCTTGAATTCCTAGATTTCAACATGTGGTTGTCTTTAGACAGAGGACATTTCAGTACTTTACCTGGATTTTTATGACAGAACTTTATAATGTGAACATTAATTGCAGGGAACAGTTATTAAAATTAATGTTAAAATTTTATACCAAAATCATACACTTATGCTAAGACATTAGCAATATACTTAAGGTAAATATTTTACTTGTAATAGAACTCACCTCCTGCTGCTTTTCATATTCCACTTTTGAATTGGATTCAAGACAGGCTCGTCGATCCAAGAATGTCCGACGAATTGCCACTTCACTCATTAAGCGAAAGTACAGCCCCAGTCCATTAACACAAAGGAGGTACACGGTATCAGAAGCCAACTGCAAGAGAAAAAGTATTATTAATTTCAATATTGTCAACAATTGATTATTATGAAATTTTGGATATAGTATCTTGACATGACGCTTGAAAGGCAGAGTATTGGAACCAGAAGAGGTGGACATTGCTAGGCAATGGCTCAATAAATATGCTCCCATGGCAACAGATATACACACAATAGAAAAAATGCAGGAAGCGGTGTTTTCTATATATTCCATGCAATGGCTATATAACGAGGATCAATGGGACAAGATAAACAGTTATGAGTTGGAAGCCAGCAGTTTGCAGCTAGTCATGAGTCAGGAATTCCTGTTGGTGGTTGGCCATGAGCATGGAAGTGGAAGAATCTCCACTATTGGAGGCCACCACCAAGCAATGACAGATGAAAACAGAACAAACTGAGAAGACTTGTTGTAAGCTACAGTGATTTTTAGAGTGTGTAGTTTAATGAGAGTATTATGGTTATTTGTAGTTACAAGTCATAGGCATTCATTAAATTCAATAATCAATCAAAACCCTATGTCGGCAGTATTTTGGACCTTAGGTCCAAATTTTCAACTTGTATTTCCCCCTAGAAACAAACACAATGCATTATCATTTTTCAAAATAAGTACATCAGACACATAATAATCAAAGAGATATTTCAGGTTCTAACTCTCTTCAAGTAAGTGATCACATAATAATCAAAGAGATATTTCAGATTCTAACTCTCTTCAAGCAAGTGATCACATAATATTCAAAGAGATATTTCAGATTCTAACTCTCTTGAAGCAAGTGATCAGTATAGCACTGACAGATCTCTATCTGTATCACTGTAGCAATTTTATCCTGTCCATCAGTTTTAGTAGTTATTATTTACAAGTCTGTTGCTGGTATCTTTAAAACTCCAGTTCTTGGCATCTACAGCCTTGTTCATTAAACAATTATAAGTACTTTCCTGTTAAGACAAAAAAATACTTTCTTTCATTTACTTACAGCAGAAAGTTTCCCATGGAGAATTTTTAATATGGAACTACATATAAATATTTGAATTTCTCAGTTTTCCCCTCCTGTTCTTAGTTTGTAACTATAAACAACAGCAACGTTACAACAGCAACATTACAACAACAACAACAATAATAATCCTCTTACACTGTACAGTTTCATAGTCTACTGAACCATTGATTTAGATGTGGGAGTAAAAATACCTATAGTATTGAATGCAAAATTTCAGAAGTTCAATCAGACAGCTTATACTGTAATCAACAGATATGGACATAGATTGATAATTGTTTGATCACCACTTCCATAGTACAGAGAAAGATGAAACTACTCTGGTTTTAAATTATGTTGCCTGAAGTAATTGATATGATCTACAGACAATCAAACAACTGGATCCAGGATTTGTTTTAAGATCATAAGGCCAACTTAATGTTAAACATTTGGTAACCAGATAAATCATTTAATTACATCAGTCACCTATGATTAACTACTTCATGTCTTATGTTTGACTGAGCTATACTGAATCCAACAGTTTTAAAGTATAAATAAAATGGATTACATCTAGTGGAGTATTATATGTTAAACTAAATAGACTTCAAGGAATTAGGTAGCAGTTACTTTTGTGTTATAGTACACTCACGCTTTCATAGATTTCTTGTTTCTTGTAATATGTTACTGTGCCAAGAGCTGTAAGGTGGCAGAGTGTGACAACAAGTCCCAGGATGAATGCCTGTATATTTTCTGTGAGGGGTAAGAATACATAACACACAAGAAGTGTGTGTGTGGTATAAGCTGGACGTAGAACACTTTCAGCTTCAGTATGATTACTGGTATGATACAGGGGTATTCCCAGATCAACAATGATGAGTAAGACTACAACAAAACATGAAACCAGAAGTGAAACACATGGAAAAGTGTTCACTAATCTTTCCTTGAACACAATCAGCACTAGAGGCCAGCACAGCACCATCACCATGCAATACAATGCTGCATCAGGCAAAGGGGCCTCCTGTAAAGAGAGAAACATATTTTAGATGCTCTTGTTTTAAGGTTCATTTAGTGGTTGATTCTTAGGTTAAGTAATGAAGCTGCAGAGGTATATAGCTTCAAGTGAGATAAGCAGATAATCGTGTTTGGCAAGGAAGTAAATAGTTGGCAAAACATTATTTTGGCCAGTCTAAAGATATCCACTAAAATTGCAGTCAAGATTGCCAGTAAACAAGGACAAATTTGAATGCCAAACCCTGCTATGATTCACTGTAACAGAGTCTAAACTTTCAAGAAAGCTAATTCCAGAATCTGTTGTGTGTGATCATCAGCCAATTCAAGAACTTGTAACTTGTATATCCAAGATTCATTTGGATATTTAATAAATCTCTTAGAGGGGTGGTAATTCCATGTCTAACAGAAGAATACAGAATAATTGTACCAGATTTCATTATGACTTATTAAAAGGTAAAGTTTCAAATGGTATGTCATGCTTCTATTACTAGTTATGAAGCCAAGGCTCAGATTAGACAAATGTGTAGATTGCATTCTCCCACCAATAAACACCACAATTTAGTGGTTAAAGTAATTCTGAAGGTGCTGAGGGTTATGCAGGTGGCAGAATGAGTACTTGCAGGGCAGTGTGACCTATGGACTTTAATTCAATTTATTCTTATATTCAAGTAGATCCAATTACAGGGTGAGAAACAAGTTCACACACTACCGGATATAGAATGTGTCAAAAATCAAAACAAATGTTCCAACCAATCACTGGAAGAAGTCAAAATAACATAATATAAAACATAGGCAACACAGACACTAAACATAATAAAATTTGACTACAATAAGACTTAAAAACTAGATGAAAACATTTGAAGATTCAGTATAGGTCATCATACTCAAATAATGACAACCAAAATTAAAGCCCTGTTCCTTCAGTTTCAGAATTGTCAGGAGGTTCCGTTCCACTGAAAGCAATCTCTGATTCTCATATTAGTACTGAAAGGATATATTTGAGAAGGTAAAAAATATGTTTCTTAGATCCTATAGGCGCATAATAGCATGGTTTATTTATGTCAGTGGTTGATTTAGAAAGAAATCCTGTATTACATACTCCAAACTTAAGGAAAAGTTTTACATTTTAAATCAAAATCTTCTTTCACCGTCAAGTTCCCATCTTGCTAGATTCATGCAACATACTCACTATAATCCATAAGACAACTGCATGACTCAGGTTTAGTAATGACTGCAACACCACAAAAACTGAGAAATAACCAAGGTATAGACGTTGCAGGTATCTGAGATACAGTTCTTCTAGATTCTTCAACCGGAATTGTTTCTGCAAAACAATAAACTCTTACAGTCACAAGCAAATTCTTTATGGATTTTTCATAAATGATATTAAAAAAAAACAGAAAAATATGCTTCCAATTTAAGTACATATATTTCCCCAAAAAAAATAATTTGAAAAATTTGCATATTCCAACCTACATGTTTGTTGTATTATACAAGATTGTTCCTGACTTAATGTCAGGAGCCTATATTTTATGGCTCTAATTGCTGGGCTGAGCCCACAGTTTGTAAGAGATCTCAAGCCACAGTCGAGACCACGCTATAGCTCAAGCGGTTAGTCACTGGCCTCCCACCGTGGCGGCCCAGGTTCGGTCCCGGGTCTGGTCAAGTGGGATTTGTGGTGGACAAAGTGGCGCTGGGGCAGGTTTTCTCCGAGTTCTTCGGTTTCCTCTGCCAATCTTCATTCCACCAATTGCTCCACAATCACCCTCAACTACCATCTGGAGCGGGTACAATAGGCCAGAAGTGGCTGCAGTACAAGGGACTTAGTCCCAACCCACTAGCAATAAAAAAACCCACAGTCATTCACTTTTACTATCAAAGTTGTCTTTGTAAACTGAAAATCTTATCTCTCTACATCTGGTAACTTCAGTGATTTCTTTTCTTAAATCTGTTGAAACTTTTAACTATACTTAATTACCTGATACAATCAATTATTTCTACATTACATATAAATTTTCTGACAGAATTAGTTTCAATGCAGAAGGTAATATCTCACATTATACAGTGTCGAATGGTAGGATGATCTGTAAATAATTTGGATGGAAGTGATCATGGCCTATTGAAGGCACTGTCACGGCACTGCCTAAAGTGACTTAAGAAACCAACTAGAAACCTCAGTGAGCATAGCCAGTATTCCAGCCGAGATTCAAGCCAGGTATCTCTGGAATATGAGTCTAGAGTGTCATTGCTATGTCAGCCAATTTGGTAATTGTAAATTAATAACAGTGTTTTTTACTGGATTTGTTTAACCTTTATTTTTTGCATCCTGTTGTTAATATTGTATTTAAGGTGGTCACCTACACAACAACTAGTAACAATTCCGGCGGTGACTACTTTTAGAAGTAGCTTAAGTATATATGTATTTTTTGTAAATAATAATATTTTTTCTCGTTGCTTGTTTTGCTATCAGCTCACCAAAATTTATTTTCTGAATAGCCCTTTTATATTCATTACATGTGTCGATTTCAAAGATCATCATCAGGTAGTACTCATGAATATATATAGCCACCATTCAGTAACAATGGATATTCATGAACACTACTTCACGATGATCTTTTACGTCTAAATTTGTAATAGATATATATAATAAAACAGAATATTAACACTATTAATATCAGTTGTACTTATTAGTTGTTGTGTTGACATCCACTGAAACACCTTTAAATGTTATATGTTTGAAGCTATGTGGCCACAGAAAGTATTTCTAAATTTTAAATGTGGCCACAGGAAATTCTGGCTTGAGAAGTGCTGCTACAGAGTGTTATTATTTACATCATGACTATTAATGCCTATATTATTACATGTACTATGTTATTATTTGCATTACTGATGAAACAGTTATCACCCCGAGGTTCTACATTTTAATCTTGTGTTACTGTTTTCGTTACACTCTTCAATTGTTTGTTCTAGTCTGTGTGTATGTTCAGTACTTCTCAGTCTATGGTCCACATTATTTGATTCTCAAGGACGTTTTTATTCTATGCCTAATTTTTATGATTTATAGTAGAATCATTCCTAGTTCTGTCCTACTCACATTAGCTTCACTTGCAACTGTTATTTCCATGACCATATGAAATTAATATTTTCTGTTGTTTACTGCTCTGTTATTCTCATAGATGTCTACTTCCTAAACAGGTTGGTTCTGGACTCATGACTAATACAGTTCATAATGTTTCTGCTTTCAGTTGATTCTTACATTAACGAATCATTTTAATCCTTTCATCTATGAAAATAATGGTGATGATTGGTATCAAAACCAAAACCGTTTTAATACTGGACTTGTGTGCTAACCACTTGACCAGTGAGTTATGAAACTGGTATTCATGTGAACACGTTTCTAGATACACTGTGACGAATGTTATAAACTCGATAATTTCATAGTTTTTCTGTGAAGTATACTGGCAGAAATAAATGTTTTATTATTTCACCTACTCTTGAGTTAGAATGAATTTCTTTTAAGATATGTGTGTTGTTTGTTTAACAGTTTTTCTTGTATTGGATATGGAACAGGCTGTTAAATACTGGTACAGCATATGTGTTCTTCTTTTACGCCTATTTCTGATTTAGAGATGCACATTGGAATATATTTTTAAGCATTTGTCTCCGTGAAAAAGACATATGTTACTTTGTATCCTTTCAATTCCCTACCTTATGGTATAGTAGATATTTCAATTAACGCCTTTAGGTTTCTTATAGCTGTTAGAAAACTCTGGAATTTGTTTCTTTTATGGAACACTAGCATAAGAATGAAAACTTTTGTTTTCCATAATTTTGTCGCACAGTTCACAAGACAAGTTTTTTGGATGCCTAGTTTTTACGTATTCTTTTGCACATTTTATAAATACGGTTTTCTTTTTCTAATTAAAATATAAAAAAAAAAACATAATTTTGCCTGTGATCTTGTATGGGCATCAAATTTGGTCTCTGACATTAAGGAAGGAATATACACTGAGGGTGTTTGAAAACAGGATGCTGAGAATATTTGTACCAAAGAGTGATCAAATCATAGGAGGCTGCTGAAAACTGCATAATGAGGAGCAATATAAATTATACTCTTCGCCAAGTATAATCAGAGTGATCAAGTCAAGGAGGAAGATTGGCAGGAAATGTAGCACGAATGGGGACAAGTTGATATAGGGTTTTGGTGGGAAATCAAAAAGGAAGACCTCGACTTAGTAGATGGGAGGATAACATTAAGCTGGATCTCAGAGAGGTAAGATAGAGTGGTATGGACTGGATTGATCTGCCTCAAGATAGGAGCCAGTGGAGGGCTCTTGCGAAAATGGTAATGAACTTTTGGGGAACATAAATTATTTGGAATTTCTTGAGTAGTTGCGCAACTGGTGGCTTCTCAAGAAGGGCTCAGCTCCATGGAATTACTCACTTAGCTTTCTTCTCCTATGCTCCGGGAGACTGAAATATTTGTCTCCAACTTGACTTAGAAAAAACTATGTTGCACTTAATATTGACCGCCTCTGTGGTCTACTGGTTCCTGGCTACAGATCCAGAGGTCCGGGTTCGATTTTCGACGCTACTAGATTTTCTGAGAAGTAGTGGATCTTGAACGGGGTCCACGCAGCCTCGTGAGGATAACTGAGAAGCTATTTCAAGGAAATAGCGGTTCCGGTCTAGAAAACCGAAATTAACGGCCGTGGGAATTCATTGCGCTGACACCCTCCATCCGCTAAAGTGGGCACTAACTTCGTCGACAAGTGACAATCGCTCGGTCGGTATAGTTCGCTTGCGGAGTAAAACCAAGGAGTTTGTTTGTTTTGCACTTAATATTATGTACCCTTTGTCTAGTGGAAGTTTAACGATTTGTTTGCTTTCTCGGAATAGTGCTATTGAAAGCAAATATGTATGTTCTTTGCTATATTTTACTTCGACTTGCCGTTTATGAGACACTGAATACAGAATACCCTCCCAAAAGGAAAAACTCCCAGATTCGAAACTGTAAAACTATTATGTTTTAGACTTTTTCAGATCCGAGCTCTCGCTTCTCTATGTGTTTATCAAATTTAAGATCTTAGTGCCTTATAGAAGAATGGAACAGATAGAAAAATGATTATTATTATTGTTCCATTAACAAGTGCACAAAAAAAAAGGAGAATGGGCAGGTATTTTTGAATCAGACAGGCCTGTGATATACAAAATTGGCCTACACATATGCCTTTGAAGTACTCATTAATCTGTGACGAGTTACAATATCAAACACAACATTTTATAAACTCCCTTGATTGTCATGCGTCTGTAACTGACGCAATCAGTTATCTACCTTCAAGACTTCTATTTTATCATCATTTCTACGTCAGGAGATAGCATAATGAAAACTTATTTCTTGCAACCCACAGAAAAGCACGATCATATTAGATTTGCACCACAGATCGAGGAGTACACAACCGACAAATGCAGAAACGACTGAGGCATTCGGAATGCATTTGGTTGAATAAATACATCGGAAAATTACGCGGTTCCTATATATATTTTTTTAATTACTCTGAACCAAACAATTTATCTCACGAGGTTAGACGACTTCTGAGACGGGGGGGGGGGAAATAAAGTGTATTTCTATTTATTTATGAGTTATTTAACTATGCATTCAATATTTCTCATTATATAACACCGAACGATACCATGAATAGTGAAAAATCGCATGACGGTGGCAGGGAAATAAGCGGTCATAGCCTAAGGTGAATTACTGTTCTGGAATTTGCACGGGGAAGACTGAAGTTAAACAAAAAGAAAGGCTCAGAATAACCGGTCTCTGTGGCGAAGACTGAACCCTGCCTTCACGAATACAAAGCGCAGATTCTACACACTTTAACGCGATATTCGGTTATAAGGATATTTTCTACATTATGTTAAGTATTAACAAACATATCTGAATGAAATGAGTTATGTAGGCCCAGTTGGCCAGGAATTATTATGGAATTCGAAGTGACATTACTAACACAGCAAAACCTGACGCTGGGCTCAACTTGAAGCCTGTTCAGACGAATTAAGTCTCCATGGTCAATTTCTTTTACTATCCATTTGAATATCATCTTTCCATTTACTTTTCTGAAGCGGCCTCTCCCTTGGACCAAAATGCATGAATTTATTGACTCCGCGCATGTTACATGTCCCACCGAGTTCAGCCGTGATATTTTAATCACTATAACAATATTAGGTGAAGAGTACAATTATGATGCCTATCAGTATGCAATTTGTTCCACTACTCTGTTCTTTCAGGCCACTTTGATCCAACTATTCTATTATTTTTTATTGCTAGTGGGGTGGGACTAAGTTCCTTGTACTGCGGCCACTTCTGACCTATTGTACCAGCCCCAGATGATAGGTGAGGGTGATTGTGGAGCAATTGGTGGAATGAAGATTGGCAGGGGAAACCGAAGTACTCGGAGAAAACCTGCCCCAACGCCACTTTGTCCACCACAAATCCCACTTGACCAGACCCGGGATCGAACCCGGACCGCCGCGGTGGGAAGCCAGCGACTAACCGCTTGAGCTATGGCGCGGCCTTCCAACTATTCTAACTACTTCCTCAAAGAGCCTCGATTTAATGGAGCCAGTGTAACTCAGTCGGTATAGTAATGGACTACAGGTTTGGCAGCTTGAAAACCAGGCTTCGATATCCGCCAAACAGACTTCCTATACAATGGGAACCGGGAGCTCATTCCATTGGGATAAAACGGCCAGAACATTCATTTAGTGTCAAAGTCTTAAGAATGCATAGAGTTACAGCTCTGGTTCCCATGCGTATTCAGGGTGAGGTCCTTAAATAAACACAAGGAATGATCTACCTTTACACCCTCGGTGCCCTCCATTTAGCGCAGAGGTTATGGCCAGACATGCGAGAGACACATTTCATACAGAGTCAAACATAGTCAAACATGGTCAAGGAAGGTCTTGACACCTTTCCTTCGTGCATCTTTGTCTGCGCATGGAATAAATAAAACGTGTCTTTATATCGCACCTTAACTCACAGTTTCAGATACAAAGAGATAAAACAAACTCCGTGGCCTGTCCGCAAGCGAGCTATACCGACCGAGCGAGCACCGCTTACCAGCAAATTTAGTGCCAACTATAGCGGATAGAGGGTGTCGCGTTGTCAGCGCAACGAATCCCTAAGGCCGTTAATTTCGGTTTTCTAGACCGGAGCCGCTATTTCCTTGAAATAGTTTCTTAATTATCCTCACGAGGCTGAGTGGATCCCGTTCCAGACCCTCTACTTCTCAGAAAATCTGGTAGCACCAGGAATCGACCCCGGGACCTCTGGATCTGTAGCCAGGAACTCTGACCACTAGACCACAGAAGCGGCCACTGTAAAGGGACACGTGAAATTATTTTGTTGTTTATTTAATGATGCTGTCAGTGTCTCGCATTATATAGCGTCGAATGGTAGGACGATTTGCGAAGAATGAATTGGAAAGGGTTTAGAAGGAAGCGGTCGTGGCCTAATTGAGGTACTATCCCGGCATTTGTCTAGAAGGACAGAGAAAAACTGCGAAACACGTCGGTCAGGGTACCCAATGATCCGACCTAGATCCGCACCTATCACCTCTCAAACACAAAACAAGAAATTTACGGATGCACCTTTCTCTTCGACGGATACATGAAATTTCACCCTGGCGACTGAAAAGTAATTAAGGAACAAGCGCATGAAGGAAGAAGACGTAAGAAGATGCTGGATGACCTTGGGGACAAAAGAGGATATTCTCATTTGAAGGAGAAAGCTCTAGATCGCATCAAGTGGAGGAACTGTTTTGGAAGAGACTGTGGACCTGTCGTCTGACAGATTACTGATGAATGATTGAACGTTATACATGAATATAAAGAGAACGGACTTACCCTAAGATAGCCCCACCACCAGTTCCGATCATCTGTGGGTTGGTTATTGAGCGTCTCTCTCAGGTAGTTGGACACTTGACTCACGTGGCGCACTGAGCTCAGACTGCTACGGGTAAACAGCTCCTCCATTCCCGATACCGACATCTGGAACAACAGACGATATAACGACATTAATTCCTATATATTTATTCCATGTTTATTTAACCCTAGAAGCACGCTTTAATAACGTTTAAAATACAACATACATAAATTCAAACGTGAAGAAAAAATTGACCGCCTCTGTGGTCAAGTAATCAGAGTTCCTGGCTACAGATCCTGAGGTCCCGGGTTCGATTCTCGGCGTTACCAGCTTTTCTCAGAAGTAGTGAGTCTGGAACGGGGTCCACTCAGCCTCGTGAGGATAATTAAGAAACTATTTCAAGGAAATAGCGGCTCCGGTTTAGGAAACCGAAATTAACGGCCGTGGGGATTCGTTGCGCTGACCACGCGACATGCTCTATCCGCTAAAGTTCCCACTAACTTCGCCGACAAGCGGCGGTTGCTTGTTCGGTAGAGTTCGCTTGTGGACTAAAGGCCACGGAGGAAGTCATTACTGTTACTGTCCCATCGAGCAAGCTGACTCTAGCGACTGCGCTTCTAACAATGTGGAGGTATTCGATTCGAATCTCGAGCAATACATCGGCTACGACACAGGACTTTTGTGGTTCTTCTCAGTCCCTCCATGCAAATGCCGGGTTAATAGCTCAAATAGGGCACGGCCAATTCCACTCCCTTTCAAAATCATTATTCGTTAACCATCGACTCCATGTTTTGAATTATTGACAGAATGGTTAAATTAATCATCTATAAGTAAATAAATTATAAGTCGCTTTTACATAAGAAAGGTTTGCTTTTTTTTTAATGCTAGGGGGTGGGACTAAGTCCCATGTACTGCGGCCACTTCTGGCCTATTGTACCAGTCCCAGATGATAGGTGAGGGTGATTGTGGAGCAATTGGTGGAATGAAGATTGGCAGGGGAAACCGAAGTACTCGGAGAAAACCTACCCCAGCGCCACTTTGTTCACCACAAATCCCACTTGACCAGACATGGAATCGAACCCGGGCCGCCGCGGTGGGAAGCCAGCGACTAACCGCTTGAGCTATGTTGCGGCAAAAAGGTTTGCTTACACGCTGTTTATGTAGGCGCCAGACCGTCTGGTTGAGCAGCAAGTGGCATGAAACATCTTCAAGTACACCGCTCCTCCCACTCTTCCCCTCCTACAGTGCCGTCCTCCGCCACACGCATAATTTTTTTGTTTTTTGTTTCTTGGAGTAGTTCACACCGGGTCAACTTAGTACGTCGACCATTATTTGGCATATTGCACCAGCTCCGAATGATAGATGATGAGTATGGAGCAGCCAGTGGAATAAGGATTGGCAGGGGAAACCGAAGTACTCGGAGAAAAACTGCCCCAGTGTCAATCTGTCCACCACAAACCCCATAAGACCTGACCTGGGATCGAAACAGGGTTGCCGTGGTGTGAGACCGGCGACTAACCGCTTGAGCTAGCCCGGGTTCGATCCCGGGTCTTGTCAAGTGGGATTTGTGGTGGACAAAGTGGCATTGGGGCAGTTTTTCTCCGAGTACTTCGGTTTCCCCTACCAATCTTCATTCCACTAAATTCTCCATCATCATAATCACCCGGGGCAGGCTACAATAGGCCAATCAGTGGCCGCCGTGCCGAGTGGACCCAGTTGGACTCCACCCCTCACTAAGCGAATTAAAAAGAAACGCTTGAGGTATGGCAAGGCCCGCAATACTTTCACAGCAAGGTAAAAGTAAAAGTAAGATTATTCCTGCGCTTAATCAATTAAACAAAACGCCATGAAGACGCATGGAAGAGTAGAGATACACTTCCGCCATTTTTGACCTCGGCGCTAGGCAGAGATGAGTGGTCAGCGACACGCCCCGGCCACTTTACCTCCAGGGAAAGAGCCCCCAGTACACATTGGTTAGGAGGTGAGGTGGGCCCCAGAACAATATGGAGAAGAAAACCCCTGTTGCTCCTGCTAGGAATCGAACCTCGGCAGTAGTCCGCTTAGGTCGGGATCGGTTGTACTGTCAGAATTTTCATGTATTTCTGTCTTTACAGGATAATGACGGGATAATTCCTCAACCAGAAAAGTCCTTTAACCATTAATTCGTTAACCATCCTACCACTCGACACTGCGTATTCTAGGTTAGTGGTTCCGGAACATTTCGAGCCGTGAACTCATCCCCAGTGCCCCCTGCCCTACCATATAAAAAGCGTTCTTCACAATAGCGGTTTGCAGAACCCACAGAGGAAGATAACACAGGTGAAGCTATCCCTGTAACAGGCCGTGAAGGCCATAGAGTTGTGAGGCTTCCACATTGTCTAGACAAACAGATCACAGATGTCGGTAAGTTTGTCAGCCTTACGAGCCGGCCACCATTTACCTCCCAGGAAGATTTCTGGTACTCATTTCTGTTAGAGGAGGAGTCAACCCCAGGGCCATAGTGCGGCTGGAAGGATTATGTAAATTGAAAAAATCCACCTCATCGGGAAACGAATCCGCGACGTTCCGGCTTGTAGCATAGCGCCTTAACTAACTACCCTATCGCGTGCCCCACCAAGGGACATAGACTCCGTGGATTGTAGTCCGAAAGCGAACTACATCGACTGAGCGACCGCCGCTTGTCGGCGAAGTTAGTGCCAACTTTAGCGGATAGAGGGTGTCGCGTGGTCAGCGCAACGGATCCCCACGGCCGTTAATCTCGGTTTTCTAGACCGGACACCAAGGAACATAACAACAGCAAAATGCGGTACTACAGTTAGGACTACTTCAAAGTATTTTAAATTCTTAATGCAATGGTCGGGCTTGACTAAGTGATACTACTTACCCGCCGTCCGGTCTAAAGTCACTTCAATCATAAATACACTTTGGGAACCACTGGTCTAGATACTGACAGCGCCTTACAAAATAAATCATAAAACACACCTAATCCATGATTTTGCCAGAGTCCCATTTTCCAACCAGCTCACCAGGACAATTTAAATTCTAGAGCGACACATCCAATAACAGTTCATAAACTGATTATCTCAGTCTAGGGATAACGTTCTAGATTTGTATCCGATAGGTGCTAAGTTCGAATCCAAGCTGGGATACCTGGCTACCCTAACTGGGGGCTTTTCGTGTTTTTCCTCAGCCCTCCCAGCCAAATACTGGGATAGAACCCTGGCAAGGCTACGACCTCTTCCTTCGAAATCCTACCCAATTCATCATTAGTCATTCCACTATTCGACGCTACAGTCTCGGTACTGAAAGCATCTGTGAACAATGCTCACAAATTGTGGTAAACTGCAGTGAAGTTTTGTACAACCCTGTTTTGTCATCACATCGGCCTTTGCGTTGCTCTTTTTTTTTTGTATTGTTGCTCTCCTTATTATCAACATGTTGACGTTAGTGGCCATATCGGTGTCGTAATAAACTGCTGCTTGTGCTGCGAATTATCACCCAGTATCTCTTTATTATTTTCTTATCACACGTTTAGTTTCCAACATTGTTGAATTGCATCATTTTTCGAAATACTTTGTACATCTATTTATTGCAACTGCGTTTTCGTTTCCAAATTCACATTTTTTATCCTTAGCAACGGGCTACGGGATGAACTGCCGGGCTGCGATTCTGGGCAGAGGCAAGATACTTTTCTCTACTCCGTAGAGTCGAGACAAGCCCTGGAGCCCACCCAGCCTGCTACCCAATAGGCACCGAGGGCTAATTCCCCCGGGGTAAAGCAACCGCAGCGTGAAGATGACAACTCAGCTCCATCTATTTTTTTTCCTTGGCACTACAGCCCCAGTGGGCCTAGGCCTACCTCCATGAACTCCGTTCACTTCGGTTTTTCTAGATCTTAGACATTCGGTAGGACTCCTTGGGCGAGTGATCAGCTCGTCGCAAGGCCTCTACCTGTACATAAACACAGAAAAACGCACACAAACATCCATGCCCTGAGTGATATTCGAACCCACGATCTCGGCTTCCGAGCGAACGAAGACAGTGCATGCCTTAGACCGCTCGGCTACCGTGACCGGCGTCTTGATGGTATAGTGCTTAATTAATTAAGGACAGCATCAACTGTAGTTTCACCATGAGATATTTGTGCCAACTACAGTGACCGCGCTGTCTACAAAAAGTTACAATTAGGAATTTATACGAAACCTGCAACCACAGACTTAATCATACACAATGACTCATGCCATGTATGAACACAAAAAAGGTGATATAAATTTCTTCTTTAACCGAATGAATAAATACCCGATTACGCATAACAACAAAACAAAGAAGAAACTATGATAAAAACAAAGCTAGATAATAATAATAATTGCCCACAGAAACCCATGGAAAAGAACAGCGAGCAGAAAAGAAACTGGGCCACCTTCATTTTCTTCGGGCCAGAAAGTAGAACAATTACAAAATTATTCAAGAATACCGAAATTGGAATATCATATAGAACTAAGAAAAATATAGGCCGCGCCATAGCTCAAGCGGTTAGTCGCCGACTTCCCACCGCGGCGGCCCGGGTTCGATCCCTGGTCTGGTCAAGTGGGATTTGTGGTGGACAAAGTGCGCTGGGGCAGGTTTCCTCCGAGTATTTCGGTTTCCCCTGCCAATCTTCATTCCACCAATTGCTCCACAATCACCCTCACCTATCATCTGGGACTGGTACAATAGGCCAGAAGTGGCCGCAGTACAAGGGACTTAGTTCCACCCCACTAGCAATAAAAAAAAAAGAATAATATTAAACATTTGTTAAGAACGAAGGAAAACAACAACGGAAAGAATATAACCTAAGGGGAGTATGTCAGTTACAATGACCAGATTTCCCACAGAAGTACGGAGGGCAAACGGCGCGAACGTTCAAAACAATTTTTAAGAGCACGTAAGAGATATAAAGAATATCGGGCAGAGCTCCAAGTTTACCCAACCCACAGTGGATGCCAAATATGAATACGAGATAACAGAAAAGGCAATGAAAATCCTACGTATAGAAAAGAATGCTTAATGAGAGATTTCACATATATGAAATCAGCGAAAAGAACATGCAGCTAGACACCAATCTTACTGAAACATATAATCCCAT